TTCCGTCAATTTTCGAAGGAGCCGATGGAAGCAGTTTCAATAGCACTGTAGCGGATCAGCAGGTAATTTTGTGGGTGTGTGTATGTGATTTTGTTTCTCTTTCTGGAATGCAATGAAGGCTTCTTATCTTTTAAAATATTTCTTGAGGAGCTTATGAGCTCTTTTAAGGAGAGTTGGCAAACCAATTTTATGAGCCTATAAATATTTTGACGACCTTTATAATCTCCCCCAAACTTCCTCTTGCTCATAATTATACCTATCTGTTTTCCTTAATTTGCTAGTTGTGAAGTGTATTATTCCCATTTTTTTTTTCTATTTCTCCATCAGGCTTCTGAGAAGATTTTGTATAAATTATTGTTCTTTAATTGGAAGTATTCTTACATGGTTAAAGTTCATCATGCCGTGGCTGAAGTTCAGTTTTAAGGATATCTACTTCCTAATCATTATATTGTCTTAAATCTTGATCTCCTTCTGATTCTACCCTGAAGTCTTGGATTGGATGTTCACTGTGTTATTAGGGCCTAGTTTGGCATTTGTATGAGACCCATAGCCTTAAGCTACTGGTTTGTTGTTGAATATGTTAGTTACTTGCTAAATAATATTCTTTCAAATGTAATAGGCGGAATTGGAGACTGTCGCTAAAATAACCCATGAGAAGTCAAAGAAGAATGACACTAAAGTGGCCAAGTGAGGATTTAAGCTTGCATTTCAATCTCCCGTGTATGTGACATGCATTCTTTTAACTTACAAATTAACTGAGATAATGCAAATTTCTGGTCTTACTTTCATTTACAAGTGCTACCAAATCTTTCCAACTTCAAGATGTTTTCTCCCTTGAGAATGAAGATTCTGAAGATGTGGAAACTTTGATTGATAAAAAGGTGACACCTAATGTTTTTGTTTGATTAGGAAATCATGTCTTATTTAATTTTTAAGAGTGCCCTTTCTATGAAGCTCTTCCTAATGCAATACTCTTTTTTCAGGACAACGTGTTTGTGATGTCTAATAAGAAATCGAAGTATCCAGTCCTTCAAGTTGATTTTAGGTAATTCTTGCTTAATATTGTTCTTCAATTAGATTATTGTCAATATTTTTTCGTTCTTTTACTCCTTTGGAAAAATTGTTTCGAGTTTGAGCATTTGTAATTTGTTTCTTCGTGAAAGCTTCATTTAAAACCAGCCATTCTTTGAATTGAATGAAAGACCATCTTTACTCTGCCTCCAATGTATGTCTCATTGCTTTCTATCTCTACAGGCAGAATAATAGATGAAGGTAGCCTTTCTTTATAATAACATTTTCCCTTGTATTTTTTTCCACTATTAGAGATTCTAAGAGGATTTTTGTTTACCACATTGATGGAGCTCGAAACCTAGGCTGTATTCTGATCAAATTGATAACGTATACTGCAATGTTCAACTTTTGTAGGCTAATTTCAGACTTGGTGGTTGTTGTAGTCTCTGCTGCCACTGGTGGAATTATCTTTTCTTGTTTGGGACAACCGGTCTGTGCTTTTTCTGGTCGTTACTTGCTCTTGTTACAATTTGTGTTATTACATTCATATGGTTAGTGCTCTGAAGAGCTGAACCATGCTAATATTTTGGTATTTAATTTTAGGTCATTGTTGGCTATCTTCTGGCTGGATCAATTATTGGCCCTGGTGGATTAAATTTTATCAGTGAGATGGTACAGGTGTGTTGACCTCTCAGACTCTTTCTCTTTCGACATACTACTGTTTTTTCATACTTTTCCTGCTCTGAGTACTCTTTATTTTGAGCTAAAAGTAAAGGGACGAACTTAGTTCTTTATTAGCCTTGGTCTTTTGTTGCTTAGGATATTGGCAGAATAAACAATTCTTGTAGTATGATTGGAGAGTTTTAACTTTCTTACTATTATTTGTCTTGTATAATCATAGAATGTCACATTAAATTTTATTGTCTTCGATTACTTCTTTGCTGCGTGAGCTATTATTCCACTGTTTGGAATATTAGACTTCTTGATTCTCAAGCATAAATGAAGCATTTTTCTATTTATTCTGAGTTAATCCAATGTTTTCTTACCAAAAAATAACCTAGAGAATGAGATGCTGAATTGTCTTGTGACCTAGCAAATATTGAAATGACAAGAGATAACAAATGTATTCGGGTAATGAACTTGTTTGTGCCTTTTTTTTTCCCACTCACATACAAAAGTATACATGGTTATTGTTGTTCGCTCGAAATGTGTGTCATTGCATTCTTCTTTTTAGTGGTCACATCATACCTCTCTGGTTCGTACTAATAAGCTGTACTTGGCTTAAGTCGCTAAACCTGGTAAACATTACGAACACACAAACTTTTTTCATTCTTTGTTTTCCCCTATGTAGTTTCATTGTTCTTTTCATTAACATTTCAGGTGGAGACTGTCGCTCAGTTTGGTGTTGTCTTTCTCTTATTTGCCTTGGGACTGGAGTTCTCTTTGTCAAAGGTGTGGTTTGTGATTGTCTTGTTCCTCCCTTAATTTGCAGCTGCATTCTTCTATATTTTCTTGTGACTCTAGGCATAATATCTTAACTTATGTAGCTTAAAGTTGTGGGGCCTGTTGCTGTTCTTGGTGGATTGCTTCAGATAATCATCCTTATATTTTTGTCAACTGTTATTGCATTGGTATGGTTTTTTTGTCCTTTTCATTGTCCTTTTTGTTTGAACATCCATGAATTACAGTTTATGCTTACTTTTCTTGATCTGATTGCTGCAGTTCTGTGGAGCAGAGTTGTCAGAGGGTGTATTTGTCGGTTGTTTTATGTCAATGTCATCAACTGCAGTGGTAGTTATTCATATTGTTATCACTTCTAAAACTTTGTTATCAGTAAATCACAAGATAGTACTACAGAGATTGTATCACTTTTTACCATGATCTGCTGCCTTAAAGTGCCTTCAATTGTACGTGATATTGCCATTGAATGTCACTTGTTACTAAATTTTGACCAAACTCCTGACAGGTAGTGAAGTATCTTGTTGAGCGGAACAGAAATAATTCGGTTGATGGTCAAGTGACAATAGGGACACTTATTTTTCAGGTATTCTTGATTGCTTTTTGCCAATAATTTGGCGAAATCAATTCATTTTATTCTCTTTGTACTTGAATGATCTTCCAGGATTGTGCTGTGGGCTTGCTATTTGCTTTGCTTCCTATTCTTGGAGGTAACGGAATCTTGAACGGAATGGTCTCTATGGGAAAATTGTAAGTCCAGTAAATTGCAGATTATAGGGAACTTTTGAAACTTCCTACATTTACCTATCTTTATTCTCTACCCCAGGGTAATCACTTTATGCATATATTTTACGGTGGCTTCTATGTTGACTTGGCTAGCTGTTCCTCGGTTTCTGAAGTTGATGATGCAGTTATCAGCCCAAGTTAGTCGAGCTACAATATTCTGTTAATAGCCAGTTTGATTTGCTATCATTTTTTTTTTGTTCTTTCTTGAAAAAATCATCAATATTTCAACTGATATGCTTCAGAGTTTAAGTAGGTTTAACTAATATTTTTCTAAAATCATTAAAGCACGTTTAGAAGTTATGCCCAAATACACCAAAAGAGTCACAATCACAAACCGTCGTGCTGTCTGTAATGTAGAGAAATAAGTTTGGTGATGATTTGGAGCCTTTAATTAAAAAGGAGTTCCGATGACAACTTCCTTTGTGTATATGTTCACTAATGACACTGTTGAGTGAAGATATTAACTGGTGTTGGGAAGCAGCCACTATTTAGTTGTTCTTTAACCATTATGTGATTCTAATTTTATGTAGCTCACACATCATTGAATTTTAGAACTGTCCCAATCTTACTTTACGGCACTTGTCTGTGTGATATTTCTAGACAAATGAACTCTATCAACTCGCTGCTGTGGCTTTCTGCTTGATGTCTGCTTGGGTAAGACTGAATGGACCCTTGTTTTCGTGCTTTACACACACACACGAACACATATATATACATATATACATATAACATTTAGGTTTAACCTGGAATATCCCTACTGTTTAATTACTCTTTTATAGCTCTGAAGTGCAAAACTAACAAAAAACTTGTTGATGATATTGAACAAGATCAATGGGTCAATTTAGGAACACTTATTCATCAAATAGTTGATGATCAATTTTTTGGTAGATGCATGGTATTGTTTAGGCAGCTGAAAGGGGGATTTAACTTCTGTCAAATGAATATTATTAAAGAAGAAATTGCTACAGAACATAAATGGAGTAATTTTTTGATATCGTGGTGAAATCTTCTATTAAATGGTTTCAATTTAGTGTAAGTTCTGGACTTATTTTGGTTCAGCAGAACTGGGCATGTCCTATGGAGGATCCTAGAGTATCACCAAGAATTCTAAATAAATGTTGAGTGGAGTCAGATATTTTCTCCCTTCCTTTCACTGATATATCTTGAGATAGGGCACTTATAATAGCTTGACAAGTGAAACAACTCGTCTTATGCGTTGTCATTTTCCAGTGCAGCGATAAACTTGGCCTCAGTCTTGAATTGGGTTCTTTTGTGGCTGGGGTGATGATATCCACCACTGAATTTGCGAAGCATACCTTAGATCAGGTATCATACAGCAACTCCATAAATTTATGATGATTCATGCCCATCTCTCTATTAGAAATTAGATATTGACTTTCGCCATCACTGAATCCTCCTCACTGATCGGAGTACGCCGATTACCCATTGAATAGAAAATTCTATTTTCTTCCATGTAAACAGTGTTTAGTGGGATGTAAGGTTTCAGGTTGTGTGCTCCAATTAATGACATGCATTGCTCCCCAGTTTGAATTATGTTTTGTGTAACTAAAGTAATGCTTACTTTATTTTATTGTTATGGGCTGAGGGCCGATGATTAAAGATGGGCTATATGTTGATATGACAAGTCTTTGAGAGTTAATTTATCAGTTTGAACATTTTTACAGTGGAAATATCCACACAACTCTAATGTACTTTGTTATGATTCGAATCAGTCTCACAACTCATGGCATAAGCTTTTCTTAACAGATAATTTCCTTGTTATTTAGATTGATTATGAAAATTGGAACTTTGTATTGTGCATGAGTTTGGCATAGTAGGCCAATGTTCACCTCTAATGTTCTCAGCTCACTGTAAATAATATACTATAAAGGTTCTTAGATTTTGTCAAGTTATCTGAGGAGCACATTAAGTTAAAGTTACTAAGCATAACAATCTTTGTAGGTGGAGCCGATTCGTAATTTTTTCGCTGCTCTCTTCCTTTCTAGCATCGGGATGCTCATACATGTACACTTCCTTTGGACACATGTGGATATATTGCTTGCATCTGTTTTTCTGGTGGTGACTGTTAAGACAACAGTTTCTGCTGTGATTACTAAGGCCTTTGGTTATAACCTTAGAACATCATTTGTCGTAAGTTTAAAGTTTATAGATTATTTATCTTCTAAAATTATGGGTTCACTGTTTTAAAGATTCATTTGCATCTCAGGTTGGAGTGTTGCTGGCGCAGATTGGGGAGTTTGCATTTGTTCTCCTAAGCCGCGCTTCAAACTTACATCTTATTGCGGTAGTTTCCCTTTAGTTTTTGTCAAATATATATCTTCATATATAATACAAATATTCATTCTTAATTTTCATTTTGAAACTATTAAAAGTGCTGTGATTTTAACAGTTAATGCTCTAAATTCCTTTAAATTTTGTATGGTTATGTTGTTGGTAGCATATGTTCTTCGTTATTCACATTTTCTGAACCATACAACTTATTTTTTGCTTCATTTTTTCCACGAGCAATCTGAAGTATCCAATAAGCAGCTACTATCAAGAATTTTATTCATATATCCATGCTAAAATACACGATGAGCTAGCTTCTTCACTTGTCTCACAGTCAAAACTTGAAAAGATAAACCAAATAAGACGAGCATTGCGGTGATGGTTTGGACATTTTTTTTTTAATCAGGAGAGGTTTGAAGCTAAATATATAGCTAGATAAATAAGTTTCTGATGAATCCATTACGATTTGTAAACAGTAAAGTTTGTATTACAATATCTGATTGCAGTCTTAGCTGGTTAGCATAAATGCTGTCTTAATAATGAATGCAATTCCTATTAGCCATCTCGTCCCTGATAAAATTAGCATGCTTAACCAACCACCTAATGTCGGTTAAGTTCATTTGCTCCCGAGACTTACAAGCATCTCACTGCATTTTCAGTTGGTACAAATTTTTAGTGAAACGCAAAGATGGTCAATATTTTGACCCATTGCTTGTTTCTGTGCCGTATTCTGTCCCACTTTGCAGAGAAAGATTTCTTATTAATATAAGTTTGCTCAATTCTCTTATATCCCTGAGTAGTCTTCTCATATATTTCTCTCTGTTATTCTGAGAGTGTTGCAATTTTGAACTAAAGTTTCTCTTATTTTTTTCTGACAAAAGATTGTCGTGTAAACTTTGTAGGGGAAGATGTACCTTCTTCTTTTGGGAACAACAGCTCTGAGTCTTGTAAGTTTTTCTGGTATGTTATGCCAGAATTTCTACGTTAACTTTTCTTAATAATCAAATCTCAATGATGCTTCAGGTGACAACTCCCGTCTTATTCAAGCTAATACCTGCTTTCATACGCTTGGGTGTTCTTATGCAATGGTTTCCTTCTCAAAGTATAACTAATAATGAGGTATAATTTTGCCTTACTAATTTGTACAAATGCATCTGCTGGCGTCATACATCTACATTACATGCTTAAATTCGACTTGCGTTATGGCATTTGATTATTGGAAGAACTACACTACAATTGAGTTTAACCGAACCGGAAAAGGTAGTTATTTTTGAAAATTACAGAGACCCCTTGGACTGTTACACCACCTTTTATGTTTGTTTTTTACACAATAAAAAACCCTTTGAAATAATCAAAGAGAAAATTCAGGGCATATTAATATCGCCAATATTACATGAAATAAGGCCTCTATTATCATGTTCCATAAATATATATATATATATATATATATATATATATATATATATATATGTCATGCAGGAAAAAGTTGTGGTGGTTCAAAGTGGATGACTAGACTTCCTGTACGTTGGCAATTCCTATTTTGTTGGTTGATAACAACATCAAGCTAGAGGTATAAATGTTTATTAGAAGAACAGAAGGAAAAGATGGGTGTTTAGGACGGACATTGTGGACCTTCCAGAGTTGATTCAATTTACTTCCAGCGTTTGATTCAATTTAGAGTCTACATTCGTGTACATACGTGACATTATATCTTATAGGGATTTATCTTATAGGGATTTGTAAATATTCACACGCTCAAATCTCATATGGCTATTTGCCTAAAGCCTTTGCCTTTTTTGAACTTATGTAAGCTAAACCTGATTTAGAGCTGCTATTAATACATGATGACAGATTACACGGCAGTCAAATGTTCTTTTTTCCTTTTTGTTCGCGCTTATCTTGCATGTTTGCAATACATTTAGTTCTTCTGATCTTTGTCATTCATTGCAAAGAGTTGTGGAAACTGCACTATGGTTCTTGGATCTGACAATCAGTTTAGCTTAGGAGATTGCATTTGAAGCTATGGCATCGAATCAAGATCTCAACAAACTTTTAACAATGTAACTTGTTTCTACTTTTTTGTTGGTAACATTTTGTTACCTGGTTGTCTTGCTTATTTCAGTTGCACAAATTTTTATTCCATTCCATCCTGTATCTTGTGGAGGTACTTATCTGTGTTGGGTGTGTGTACATATTTGTCTTTGGGAGAATGACAAAGAACAACAACGGAGAGTGATGACGAACGGCTCGATCAAACCACAAACACGATCCTGTCGATCAAACCACAAACACGATCCTCGAACAAACTCAAACAAAGAATCCAAATAATAAACAAAGTCGAGGCATGTGAAACACGATTGTCATAGCATAAAATTGCTACCGATTAATGTCCACGGTTTTCAACAAACGTCTCTAAGATACGACTTCTGTCCTATGTATAGTGATACTTTAAAAAGGTTTTGAAAACCGAATCGGTCATTGAACCGGTGACGCTACCGGTTCAATGGTTCACTGGTCGGACCAGTGATCGAATCAATCGAACCGCTTTAATTAATATATAATTTTTTATTTAATTTTATGTGTATAATATATAATTTTATAGTGTATAATAACATTTTCTACTAAATAAGAGTTCAATAATAGATATGGTCGATAATGTTGGTAATATTGATAAATATATATTTAAATTGATACAATCCAAATTTGTATTTAAATTTTAAATCAAATTATAAGATTTTTTTCTTTTCCCTTTTTTTGTTTCCAAAATATTCACAAATCACAATATATATATTGAATTATTGTCTATTAATAGCAATGTTCTCAAAACCGGACCGGACCGACTGGTTCAACCAGTTGGACCGGGAACCAACCTGTATTCCGGTTCGGTTCGCTCCATAAAACCGCCATCCAATGAAACCGTCCCAAAACCATTCAGCCGATCCAAAACTAGATGAACTGGTTACCCAGGGCCGATTTCAAGGGTTAGGCGGTTCCAACACTTGAGTGTGGAAGCTTGTGACATTGCACCCCAAAATGGTCAATTAAATAGCAGAACTCCTTTTCTTATCATTACGATGTGGGAACTGGGATGTGTCACCAAGTATTGATGATGGGCCTAGTTTATTAAATATTTGACACTATTAAATGGGCTTTAGATACATAGCCCTTTGGCTGGGCTCATAAAATGAAATTTATGTGGGTTGGGACCACCACAAAACATGAAGCCCCAACTTATTAACCAAAAAATACTCTTAACTAAGTTGGTAATATTTCAAAAATTAAAAATTTATATATAACCAACCTACTATTAGAATTCTCTCTCATGGGAGCTTCCGATTATCTCCGGTGAGATCGACCTAGTTTTTCAGTGATTTTCAGTGTTTTTCGTAGATAATCCCCGTCTATCAGCAATGGAGGATCGGAACAATGTGGGGCGTGATGAGGAGTTAGCAAACCGATTGAAAGGATGCTCTCTATCGTCGAAGGAAACAAAAGTTGCCGACATCGGCAAAGAAGATATCCGGCTAAGCGCTGAGGAATGCCAACGTAGCCTCTTTGGGAAGGTGATAGGAGATCGTAAAGCAAGTTGGATAGGAGTGAAAAGGACGATGAGTAATATCTGGCATCTCCATAAGCCTATGGAAATCAAAGAATTAGGTCCCAATTTTTTTCAATTCCTATTTCAAGACAAAGAAGATATGAGAAGAGTAGCCAAAGGGTCTAACTGGATATTTGAGAATCAATATCTGATTCTCAAGGAGTGGGAGAAAGGCCTTACCAGCGCTCATCCAAGTTTCAAGGAGATTGACTTATGGGCTCAGGTCATAAATTTACCCTTAGACTGGGTAAGCGCAGAAGTAGGCCTGAAGATTGGAGAAGTGTTCGCTGAGGTCAAAAATGTGGTGGTAGCTAGCTCTGGCCTTCATGGGGGTAAGATTCTTAAACTTCTTGTTTCGTTAAACCTGGATAAGGCTATTCCTAGATGTACCAATATTAGGCTTGGGGAGGAAGTAGTTACAGTGGGATTCAAATATGAGAAATTGGTGAACCTATGCCACTATTGCGGCTTCATTGGACACCTTGATAGAAATTGCAGTATAAGGCTGGAGGATATCAGATTCCATAGGCTGAAAGATGGGCAATTTGGAGAATGGCTCAAGGTAGATGACAACTTTCCAAGGCAGGGTTTTAGCCCCTCGAGATCCAGACATTCTCCCCCATTTGGTTATCAAACAACTGAAAATCAAGTTCCACCTTCTAGTTCTTCTGGCCAAGCTGCAGAAAGACAACAGTATCCAAATATCATAGGGACATTGATAGAGAGTCCTTGTCAAGATACAGTAGCCTCTAACTCTGCAGACCAAGGACCATCTCAACAGAACCAGCTGGCCATATCAGATCAGGCAACATCTCAGGTTTTAAAGATTAGGGAATCAATTACTAAAGTCCCTCCAGCCTCTGAAAACACAAACATGATGGAAGTGGAAGTAACTCTACCTCCCATTTTACCCATTACTCATCTGGGGCCAGATACTGACAAAGGCAAGGAAATGATGATTCCTAAACCAAGAACTTGGAAAAGGTCAGTAGATAAGGAAGGAAGGCTTCAAAGACTTCAGGAGCTTAATGCTGATCCAGAAAGTGCAACAGGGACTAAAAGGGAAAGATGTTCCCTTGAAACTCAGCAACCAGAAGAGGAAAACCAGTTGAGTAGGAAATCCTTAGGGAAGAAAATCAAAGTCACAGTGAAAGAGGCGGGGGCTGCCAGCCTGGAGTGGCACCCAACCCATAAATGCTAGCTGCGGTGTGGAATTGTAGAGGGCTGGGTGGGCCCTCTACAATTTTCCAAATCAAAGAGTCTTTTAGGACTCACCACCCAAAGTTCTTCTTTCTTTCTGAAACTATGCATACTAACACATATGTCAAGTCTATAAGCAGGAAATTGGGATTTGCAGACAGACATGCTATTGTGGATCCTAGAGGCCTTAGTGGAGGACTTCTTCTACTTTGGCACCAAGATGTGGAAATCAATCAGCTGGTTACTAAGGAGTTCTATATTGCAGTCAACTACAGTCTCAACAATGAGGACCAAGGATGGGGGATATTTGTCTATATGAGTCCAGACAGAACTTTGAGAGAAGATCAATGGCTGACTTTGGAAGGGGATAAAGGCTCTTGGGGAGAATAAATTGACAGAGCAGTTGGAAGAACTGAGAACAGTAGGAGGTGATGATCAATGGGAAACTTTGGAAACAGTAAGAGCAGAACTCAATGAAGCTCATGCTTATGAAGAAAAGTTCTGGGCCCAAAAGACTAGAACCAAATGGCTAAGGGAGGGGGACTCTAATTCCAGATTCTTTCATGCTTACATGATGCAGAGAAGAAGGCAAAATGCCATCTCGAGATTAATCACAGCTGGTAATGAAACCTGCACCACAAAGGAGGAAATTGAGCAACATATCACAAGCTACTACTCTGCTCTTTTTAAAACTGAAGGCTCATGGGGAGGTGAAGGTCTGCTGCCTTTGATTCTTAGAACAATCACCTCTGAGATGAATGATTTGCTGCTGCATCCTGTGGAGGAAGATGAAATAAAGACAACTCTTTTCAATCTCAATCCAGACAAATCTCCAGGGGAAGATGGGATGACAACATACTTCTATCAAAAATTTTGGACCATCATCCATGTTGACTTTGTGGCTGCTGTGAAAAGCTTCTTTGATTCTGGTACGATCCTTAGATACTGGAACCATACTTTGGTTACTTTAGTTCCTAAATGCATTGCTCCTAATTCTCTGAATCAGTACAGACCTATATCCCTTTGCAGTGTGGTGTATAAAGTTGTTTCTAAACTTTTGGCTAAGAGACTGAAAAATTGCCTTGATTCCTGTATAAGTGTGAGTCAATCAGCATTCATTCAAAATAGGCAGATGCTAGATAATGTGATATTGGCTCAGGAAGTTTTCCATTATCTGAACAGACATAGAACAGGAAAGAATTGCTTTGTGGCTCTTAAGCTAGATTTAATGAAGGCTTTTGACAGGGTTGAGTGGGTTTGTATTGATAGAATTATGACTCAGATGGGCTTTTCTCCTGCTTTTGTGAAATTACTCATGGTCTGTGTAACAACTTCTTCTCTATCTGTCTGTATTAATGGGGCACTGAGTGGTATCATATACCCTTCTAGGGGAATTAGACAGGGGGATCCTCTATCCCCATATCTGTTTATCATTGTGACAGAGCTTCTCTCAGCACTCATTACTGACTCACTGCAAAGTGGACACCTATCTGGACTCAGACTTTCAAGAGAAGGGCCTTCCATTTCTCATCTGTTGTTTGCAGATGATGCTCTATTTTTCTGCAAGGCTGATATTGGGCAGGCTAATCAACTCATAAGCTTATTGGAGAAATATAGGAAATTCACAGGCCAAAGAGTCAACCTGCTAAAGTCATCAGCCTTCTTCAGTAAAAATACACCAACACTCATTCAGAACCAAGTATGTGCTGCTTTGCAGGGTATTCAGATTCATACTTCAACTAGATACTTGGGGCTTCCTCTTGGGATTGGAAGGTCAAAGACTGAGGTGTTCTCTTACATCCTAGAATCAGTTCAATCAAAGCTCTGGAGCTGGAAGAATAAAATGATTTCAAGTGCTGGGAAAGAGGTACTTCTCAAAGCTGTCATCAATGCTTTGCCTGTTTTTACTATGTCCTGCTTTAAACTCCCAGTCTCAGTGTGCAAAGCTATTGCAAGTCTAAGTGCAAACTTCTGGTGGGGCAAAGGGGACTCTCATGAGAAAGGAATACACTGGAAAGCTTGGAAATTCTTATCACTGCCTAAGGAGGAAGGAGGAATAGGGTTCAAAGATATATCAATCTTCAACCAAGCTCTTATCTGCAAGCAGCTGTGGAGGCTTGTATCTCAACC